TTATAATCACAAAATGGAGGACAACCACACAATACTGGGAATCATGGCCCAATCAAGTTGACACATTTTTGGGAGACACAATTCAATTCATGACATTCCACCCTTTGGCCCCCCAAAAAATTACACATTTTGGGGGGACACAATTCAATTCATGACATTCCACCCTTTGGCCCCCAAAAAAATTACATCCTTGCAACATGCAAAACATATTCACCCCATCATATCATAGCAAAAGTCTTAACTCCAAGTCCAAAACCCAAAAATTCCTCTTCATCTGTGAAATCTAGAATACAAGTTATCTGTTTCCAAACGTACAATGACAAAACAGGCACAAGCTAGATGTTTCCACTACAAATGGGAAAAACTAGAGGAATAGAAGGGATAACAGGCACCAAGCAAGTCAGCAGAACACATTACATTAGTCCTCAAGGCTTTGAAAATAATCCTCTGTTCTCTGAGATAATTTACACAATGGGCCTGCCCTCCAGCCTCTAGGTATTGGCCACACTCTGCAGATTCTGAGTGGAGGCCCCTCGCCGCTGGGCTTCAGCTCCACCTTCCAGGCTCACTGGGACAGCAATTCTGCTCCCTCGGCTTTAGACAGCCCCATTCTGCTAGTCCATCTGAGTGGCAACTCCACCCTTAGAAACAACAGAGACCATGGCTCCACCCTTTGAAACCCTAGAGGTCGTGGGCAAACCGTTTGAGCCTGAGGCAGCTTGGCTTCTTGTGTTCCTTGTCTCTTCAGTTTCTGCTTCCTGGTTTCTTGGCCTCTCAGCCCTCGGGCCTCACACCCACATCTGCCCTGCTACTTCAAGTGTTCCAAAGCTCTGTAGCTATACCGATAAGTGCCTGGAGGCACCCCACTCTGCCAGGAAGCCTCCTGCACACAGGCACTCAGCTCTCTCACTCCATGGGTTGGCAAGCCTAGCTTCACCAATAAGTGCCCAGAGGCACCCAACTCTGCCAGGAAGCCTCCTGCACACAGCCACTCAGGTCTCTCGCTCTGTGGGTTGGCAAGCCTAGCTTCATCAGTAAGTGCCCAGAGGCAACCCACTCCACCAGGACGCCTCCTGCACACAGACACTCAGCTCTCTGACTCCATGGGTCAGCTCCAGTGCCATCTCGCATCAGTCTCCTGATTCTGCTGCTGCTAGCTCTCTGCTGCTACTGGTCCTCTATCCATTCAGTTTCAAAACTGCTTCCACATTTTAGGTATCTGTTACAGCAGCACCCCACTCTCTCGGTACCAAATTTTGTCTTAGGCTGGGTTCTCTAGAGAAGCAAAACTAGTAAAGCAAACAAATATACATAAAGAAGATTTATATCAAAGAAACAGCTCACGTAATGGCAGAGGCTGGAATGTCCCAAGTCTGTGGATTAGGATAGAGGCTTCTCCCAATTCATGTGGCCACAGGGTCTGACCCAAGACCAGCAGGTCGGAGAGCAGGGCTTCCCTCACAGGCTGTGAAGATCAGCAAATACCAAAGATCAACAGATAAGCTGATAGCTCAAGTCCCAAGAACTCGAGGTCAGATGAACAGGAGGCAGCCAGGCTGTGAAGATCAATGAATCTCAAGATCGGTAGATAAGCTGATAGTTCAAGTCCAAGGAATCGGAGGTCAGATGAACAGGAGGCAGCTGCGGGATCCACAGCGGGCAAAAAGCCAGAATGTCTGCTTATATTCGGATGCCGGCCGCATCCGCAAGAAGACTCCATTTCAACTGCTTGGCTACTTACAGCAGATTCAATCATGGCAGTGATCACATATAAACACTGAGAATCATGGTCAGCGAAGTTGACACACAATTTTAACCACCATAAAAACCAAAAGCTATAAAGGTCATAGAAGAAAAAATAGAGTCAGTGCTAGAGGCCCTAATACACGGCATTAATAGGATACAAACTATAATTAACAATACACAAAACATCAGAAGATAAGCTGGATAAGTTGGATCTTCTAAAAATTAAACACTTAGCTCATCAAATATTTCACCAAAACAGTAAAAAGAGAGCCTACAGAATGGGGAAAAAAATTTTGGCTATGACAAATCTGACAAAGACCTAATCTCTAAAATCTATAGGAAAATTCAACACTTCAACAAAAAGACAAATAATCCAATCAAAAATGGGCAAAGGATACGAACAGACATTTCACCGAAGACGACATTCAAGCGGCTGACAGATACATGAGGAAATGCTCGCAATCACTAGCTATTAGAAAAATGCAAATCAAAACCACAATGAAGTACCATCTCGCCCCGAATCAAAAAAACAGAAAATAACAAATGTTGGAGAGGCTGTGGGGAAACTGGAACTCTTATGCACTGCTGGTGGGAATGCAAAATGGTACAACCGTTTTGGAAAATGATCCAGTGCTTCCTTAAACAGCTAGAAATAGAAATAACATATGATCCAGCAACTCCACTCCTAAAAATATATCTTGGAGAAATAAGAGCCATTACATGAACAGACATACGCACATGCATGTTTATTGCAGCGTTATTCACAATAGCAAGAAGATGGAAACAACCTAGGTGCCCAACAACAGATTAATGTACAAACAAACTATGGTACATACACACAATGGAATACTACACAACAATAAAGAACAATGATGAATCTGCAAAGCCTCTCACAACATGGAAGAATCTGGAGGGCATTATGCTGAGTGAAATAAGTCAATCACAAAAGGACAAATATTGTATGAGACCACTACTATAAAAAGTCATGGAAAGTTTTACACAAAAAAATAAAATTTTTTATGGTTATGAGGGAGGGAAGGAATGGGAGGGAAAAACACTAAATAGACAATAGATAAGTGGTAACTTTGGTAAAGGGTAAGATAGTATACAATACAGGGAAAGGCAGCACAGCTTGTCCAAGGCAAGGTCATGGAAGCTCCTTAGACACATCCAAACTCCCTGAGGGATCAAATTACTGGGCTGAGGGCTCTGGGGACCATGGTCTTGAGGAACATCTAGCTCAACTGGCATAACAAAGTTCATAAAGAAAATTGTTCTACATACTACTTGGCTGCATAGCGTCTGGGGTCTTAAAAGCTTGCCCATCTGGGGCAAGGGAGAAAGAAGAAAACCAAAGACATAAGGGAAAGATTAGTTCAAAGGTCTAATGCACCACAAGTACCACAGCCTCCACCAGACTGTGTCCACAATAGAGGGTCCTGGGCAGAGCTGGAGAAAAATGTACAACGAAATTCTAACTCACAAAAAAAAAAAAAAAAACAGACTTACTGGTCTGACAGAGACTGGAGAAACCTCGAGAATACGGCCCCTGGACATCCTTATAGCTTAGTAATGAAGTCACTCCTGAGATTCACCCCTCAGCCAAAGATCAGATAGGTCCATAAAACACAATGAGACCAAATGGGCACACTAGCCTAGGGGCAAGGGTGAGAAGGCAGGAGGGGACAGGAAAGCCAGCAGAGAGACAGGGAGACCTCCTATCACCAAGAATGAAGAACCAGGAGGTGAGCGTGTCCTTTCGACCCAGGGTCTCTGTGCTGAGGAGCTCCTAGGCAGGAGAAGATTGATGACAAGGATCTTCCCCCAGAGCTGACAGAGAAAGAAAGCCTTCCCCTGGACCCGGTACCCTGAATTTGGACTTCTAGCCTCCTAGACTGTGGGAGAATAAATTTCTCTTTGTTAAAGCCATCCACTTGTGGTATTTCTATTATAGCAGCACTAGATGACTAAGACACTGGGGTAGAGACAATTGTTTCAAATATTCACTATCTAAAAATCTGAAGGAGCCTGGACTTGCCAGTCCAGTATGCATGCCTGAGGAGGAATGTCTGCACAGAGCTTGTTTCTGGTCATTATTTAGAGTTCGAAAAGGGGCTGAAATGTGGTCCTGAATGCCACACAGATGCCCTGATGCCATCGTCACGCTGAGCATCAGCAAAGCAGCTATGAAGTGTGCTAAGGACCGCCTCAGGCTCCCATACCCCCGGCTGTCTCTGCAGCAGCCTCAGCTGGCAGCATCTGTGATCACTAAAGTGAGGAGCCCAGGCCTCCGACCACAGCCAATCCACTTTTTCTGGTCATATCAAAAGACATTAAGTGTGGGCTCCAATCTCCTCCAAGACAAAGTTTTGGTTTTCTCACACCATTGATGTTCCAAAAAAAAAAATCAGGGGAACAAAGAAACTCATATGTGGAATGTCATCGTTTCATTTTGCCAAGCTGGAATTTTTAAAGGAAAAAACAAATCTGCATTTACTATCACTTTATAAAAACAGGATCAGAAGAAAGAACAGTTAGTCATTTTACCACACACACATCTATATCTATCTATCTAGATGATGATTTACAACAAAAACTCATAAGCAAACTGCGTTTAATAATGGCAGCTAACATTTATTATCACTTACTAAGTAAGAGGCATTCTTCTAAGTGTTTTACATACATTATCTCATTTATTTCCCAACTTTATGGTGTAGATGGAAACCCTGGTGGCATAGTCGTTAAAAGTTCGGCTGCTAACCAAAAGGTGAGCAGTTCAAATCCACCAGGCATTCCTTGGAAACCCTATGGGGCAGTTCTACTCTGTCCTATAGGATTGCTATGGGTAGGAATCGACTTGACGGCAATGGGTGGTGGTGGTGTGGATGGTGTAGACCTCATATTACCCCCATATCATAGATGAGGAAACTGAGGCAAACAGAACTGAAATAACTTTCTTAGCGTCTCACATAGAGTAAATGTTGGAGCCTGGATTCAAAACCAGGAAATCTAGCTTTAGGGCCACTTATCTGCTTCTTCTAAAGGTGTACCTAGTAGAAAAGGCACAGGCTTCAAAATCAGACAATGATCATAATAATTAATTTTTTTTAAATATAATTGTTACAAGCTTAGAAATGCTTGAGAAATTTGAAGGCACTATGCACTAACATGACTCTAAAATTTAAATCATAAATGTCCCTAGGGAAAGAGATATATCTACCTCTCTATATACATATAAACAAAAATATATTTACCTTAAATTCTGTTTTCTGAAAGTTAAGACAATATGAGCTTGGCTTATGGAAAATATATATATTCCTGAAAAAAATATTTATAACAGGTTATTGTCATTGTACTCAATGGTCTAGTACTGCATGTTAATTTGCTTAGAATCAAATAATTATAGGCATAACAAGGTGAAGAGAGAGGAAAGTTACAAAATAATAACAACCATATTGTTGAGTGAGTTGCCTTAAATGGACAAAAATGGTCGAATGATCGTAAGTGAAAAAATTTCCTGCATCTTAATCACCAAACGAGTCTTTGAGGAGAAGCTGAAACTGGACTGAGATTGGTTTGTCTATTAAGGTGTTATGCAGACAATCAACTCACTCATTTTTCCTCTTTAAAACTTTTGTTTGATATTATACCGACATCAGGCTAATATTGATTTAACTCTCTTGAATGATAGCTAAAAATTAATGGTGTACATAACCACTGTATGAAACATACAAAACTAAGTATTTATTTATACTTACTGAAAGCATACACAGAAGTCTTCATAATCTAACCATATTTCTTTAGAAACAGTGGTATTTATTGATGTAAACTCTTCCTGCGATTTATCTTGTATTGCTGCCATCTGTGTGACAAAATCTTGGTAACTCATTCCTTCAGGTGGATGTGATGGGTCACTCAGTCCAAGGTCTGTTTGTTCGTCTGTGCACAGTAGAAGCACAAACATGTCAAACACACCTCTGTTGTTAAATAAAAAGCTACTAAAATATGGAAAGTTATAGATGGGGGCTCAAATATGAAAGTCTATTTTTAGGAAAATGTTTGCTGAGACAATTGTTTAGTACATGCAGGCCTCAGTTTTGTGGACGTCCTTAATAGAGATATAGTTTGTAAATTTAGTGGAATGCAAACCTAACTTACATGTATACTAGAGTGTTTAGAAAATTTGAAATCACTTTCATACGTTTTTACACAATTTTTAGAATTTTCTCAAGTTGCAAAAGAAATTAGCTAGCTTATATACTTATAATTCATTATAGACAGACATGTTCAGACAAGAAAGGACGGCTGAGAAAACAGTAGGAGAAAGAGAACTTGAAAGAATGATCCCAGCAAAACATGTTCCAGTACACCATTTGATTATCTTCCATACTAAGTGATTTCATACCCTTATTTTATGTTTAATAATTAGTGTCATAAACTTGTATGGCCTTCTTGAACCAAAATTTTATACATACTTATGCCACTTCATACTTTGTTTTTGTATTGGTCAAGTCTTAACTCAGGAATTGAGAAATTTGCAATGACTTTAGTATTTTGATCATAGAGTGTGCATTAAAACATGCACTTTACTTATGGGCGCTTAATCAAAGCTTCTTTTACTTTGAAGCCTGAATTTAACAAGTGAGATTATCTGATTTTCGTAGCCTGGAGATTAGACTCAACAAATCAGAGGAGACACTAAAGACAGGCCGCTGAGAGCCACAGACGGGAGAGATGAAAGCTGTCAAGAAGCAGAGACCCCTTTGAGCCTTGATGTCTGTGGAAAAAAGTCATGAAAAGATTATCAATTTACCTTTTCCAAGTACAATTTGTGAAGCAACATTGCCCTGTGAATTGAAAAGACCATATTTAGCAACCATTTACGAATTCAACAAAATGTTACAGCTATCTAAGGCACAAAAGGTTTTAGAAGAGTTAATACAGTTTTTTAAAACACTGAAGAAACAGATTTCCACAAAGACTTACTAAGAACATACAGTAAAGTTGAGAATTTAGGCTTTTAACCTTAAAACAAAAAATACGTAAATTTAATTAAATTGGCAGAGGTTTAAGTTTGTGGCATTAAAACAAGAAATATATGAATTTAATACATGATTTAATTTTATAACAAAAGTTAAATTGAAAAATAATATCCCTAAGTAGACATTTTGTTTGGTATGAGGCACCTGCCATTAATACAGAGAAATTAATTAAATTATGATTAGCAATTAATTTACAGAAAACTAGAAAGGTTAGTTTCAAATGATAAAAAAAAGTTTCCTGAAAAATTTAACAGAGAAGTGTTATAAAATAAAGGTGTAAGACTTCCAATTTATGTTAAATTGAATTAAGTGTACAACTCTGTTTTTTCCGGAACATGAGAAAAAGACAAAATGGTGTAAACTTGCAGAGTCAAATTATGGGTGCTGTCAACAATTCTTTGGCTGATGTAAAGTGCATGGAGGACATAGCAGAGTAGAGACAACTGAATATTAAGTAACAATGTGAAGAAGCCCATCCTTGCCTTAGGACCCCAGAAGCACCTAGTAGGTATCTGAGCAGAGACTGAGACACTGGGCTGAAAACAGGGGTATGAGCTGAATACATAAGGAGCAGACAAATTTCCACCTTCCCTCCCTAGCCCATCTGGTTTAGTATCTAGCCTCTTCTGCCTAAACAGGTCATGAGAAGTTGCTTCAAGTGGAGAAATTAATGAAAAGTTTCCAGATCTGGATTCACAGATACTGCAATGGCAGGAGAAGATACTGTACAGAGAGCAGAAGAATTAAGTGAAAGTGAACATGATGTACACTCAGCTTACCAGTTCTTCCATGTTGTTTGGCTTTAATAATACTGCCAGACAAGTAAGTGTATACCAATCTCTGTGACCCTAATCCACCCTAGGAGGGAGATTACAGAACCCTCAACTAGGGAAACTGACTAGTCAGAGAAAAAAACCAGAGACACTGACATTTAGAGCCAGTCCCCTACCGCCAGGAGCCCATACATATGCAATTTTCCTAAAGTAAACCCACCAGTTGATAAGTTCCATCCATGCCACAGAGCTCTTTCGTGCATAAACCAAAAACCAAATCCAGCTGAGGTGATTTTGACTCATGGCGACCTCATGTGTTACAGAGCAGAAATGCTCCATAGGGTTTTCTTGTCTATAATCTTTGCAGAACTCCAGGCCTTTTTTCTGCGGTGCTACTTGGTGGGTTCAAATCCTCAAACTTTATGTTAGTAGTAGAGTACAAACATTAGTGCATAAATTCATTAAATACATACATACAACACAGGCTCACCAGACCATTGAGGAAAGATTCTAACATGAAAAAAGAAACAAATGGAATGGGGGTGGGGGATTTACAGAAAAAGAAGCAATAATATAAGGAACATTTTTTTTAATTAGCAATATCAGGGCATTTCAAATAAGAAATGGCTCCAAAAATATTAAAAACAACAACAGGAGAGCACTTAGAAACTAAAATTACAATAATTGAAATAACAAGTTCAATGGAAGCAGTAGATGGGAAAGTTAATACAAAAGGCAAAGAGACATAAAATAAGAAAAAAATCAAGCACATTAGAGAAAAAAGGGTGGGAAGCAGGCTGTTTAATAAGAGATCCAGAAAGCAAAGAAAATGAGAAAAGGAAATTATCAAGGGAACGGTATAAGAAAATATTCCAGAACTGTAGAACATGAGTTTCCAGGTTTAAGATAAAGTATATTAGTTCCCTAGGGCTACCGGAACCAAGTATCACTAACTGGGTGGCTTAACACAACAGATATTAATTCTCTCCCAGTTCTGGAGACTAGAATCCAAAATCAAAATCTTGGTGGGGCTGTGCTTCCTCTGAAGGCCCTAGGAAAGAATCCTTTGTTTCTTCCAGCTTCTGGTGACCCCAAGAGTTCCTTGGCTTAACTCCAATCTCTGCTTCCATCCTCACATTGCTTTCTTCTGTGTGTGTGTGTGTCTGTGTCCTCCCTTCTTCTCATAAGGGCACCAGTCATTGCATTTAGGGCCCACTCTAATCCAGCAGGAGCCCTGGTGGCGCAGTGATTAAGAGTTGGGCTGTTAACCAAAAGATTAGCAGTTCGAATCCATCAGGTGCTCCTTGGAAATCCTATGGGGCAACTCTACTCTGTCCTATAGGGTTGCTATGAATAAGAATCAACTCAATGGCAATGGGTTTGATTTTTTGGTCTAATCCAGTATGATCTCATTCTAACTTAATTACATCTGCAAAAATCCTGTTTCCAAATAAGGTCACGTTCTGAGTTTCCAAGTGGACATGCATTTTTGAGAGACACTATTCAACCCACTACAAAGGGGCTTTTACGTACCTAGTCCAGTTAATGTAAAAAGACCCATACCAAAACCAATCATTGGGAAATTTTATGACACCAAGAATGAAAAAATTCCAAAAACTTTCCAGAGAAGGAAGAGGCATATACAAAGATCAAGAATTAGAATGTCATCTGCATACTCAAGGTTAATGTTCCAAGGTAGAACACAAGGGATCGAGGAGAAGTTTCAAAATTTTGAGGGAAATCACTTTCAAGCTGGAATTTTATAGCCATAATGTTATCAGCAATATCTGGACTCTATCCACAAAAGAAATCACAATATTTTATATTATATCACAGTTGTTACAAATATCTCAAGGTATCATTTATGCTGATCACTACTTTAAAATTACAGCAGTTAGTAGGCCCAGTGTCAGATTTCATGTGGTCATCTCTTACTGTCTACAGGTACTCCGGTGACAAAGCTGGCCAACTATCTGGCCTAGTAATCATTCAACCCCCAAACAGTGAAGTTATGCATCCTCACAGTGCAAACCCTGAAAGCTATATAGCATCCCAGCATTTCTTATTGTTATGGTTAAGATCCTGTGTCAACTTGGCTGGGCCAGGATTCTCAGTGCTTTGGCGGTTGTATAATGTTGTGATCACTTCCCTATTGATATTTCATATGTGATCGCCCCCATGATGAGATCTGTTGTGAGTACCCAATCAGTTGAAAGGGAGTTTCCTTGGGCATGTGGCCTGCATCCAAATATAAGCAGACATACTTGCAAGGCTCAGGGGCTTTTGCTCATTCTGGATCCTGCAGCTGGCTCTAGTTCATCTGACCTTGAGCTAGCAGCTTACCTGTGGTCTTGCCTGTCAGTCTTGAGATTCGTTGATCTTCACAGCCTGTGAGCAAGAGCCCTGCTCTCTGAGCTCCCAATCTTGGGTTTGCCAGCCCCTGTGGTTACATGAATCAGGAGAAGCCTCTATCCTGATCCATAGACTTGGGACGTTCCAGCCTCTACAACCATGTGAGCCATTTCCTTGATATAAATCTCTCTCTCTATATATATTTATACATTTCATTGGTTTTGCTTCTCTAGAGAACCCAGCCTAAGACAGTGGTGGAATACTTTGGAAAAGGAAGAATGTCATCAGTGTAACAAGTGTCACTAAATTGTATATGTAGAAATTGTGGAATTGGTGAAGGTTTTGTTGGGTGTATTTTAACCACCAAAAAAAAAAAAAAAAAAAAGTGAAGGAAGTGAAATTGGGGCAACATCTTGAAAAGTGACTCCATGATCAATTTATAGGTAAGTGGTGGGGAATAAGGGATGGGGTAAATTTAGAGCAGAAGGAACCAAGTGTAAAGGCACCAAGACATGAATTAGCAGGTTTGGGGGAGCTTTGTAAGGGGTAGCAGCAAGACAGAAAACTTGACAGAGAGGCAGAAGCTGGATGTGCAGAGCCTTTCATGGGTTTCCAAGGAGTAGGGTCTTCATTATGTAGATTAAGACCTAGTGAAGGGTATTAAAGAGGAAGAAACAAGATCAGAGACAAGTGTTTTTGAAAAGACAATTCTGGACAGCCACAAGGAGGTTAGGTTAGGGGAAGGCTAGGTGAGTGGCAAAGAAAGTCCTAGTAAAATATGCCAACTTGAACTATGTAGTAGCTGAGTAGGTGGTTGGAGAGGAATTATCTTGGGAAACTCAATAGGATTTGATCACAGATTCAATGACAGTGAGGAAAAGACACTGATCTACAATGACTTCCAAGTTTGGGGTTTCAGTGACTCAGTGGCTGATGGTGGATTTCACCAAGATAGGGAATGCAGGAGTAACAGTGTTGAGTTAGATCACAGATGACTGCAATCTAGGCACTCTGATGGACTAGCTGGCCCCTGAGGTTCCCAAATGATTCAGACTGAGCCCCTAGGTAGGGCCAGAGGTCTAATAATGTTGCAATCCAAAAGTTTTGATCAGAATTCCAAAGTGAGTTGATAAAACCAGTTTCTCTTGAACAGGATCATACCCAGTTAGTTGGAGAAGGCAGTTCACTAGGTCTGAGTCAGCTTGCCTTGCAGCCTAGATGTCTTTGGGGACCTCATACCACCAAGAAAGTAATGCCGGGAGCAGAGCGCATCCTTTGAACCTGAGGTTCCTGCACTGAGAAGCTCCTAGACCAGAGGAAGATTGATGACAAGGGTCATCTTCCACAGCCAACAGAGAGAAAGCCTTCCCCTGGAGCTGACACCCTAAATTCGGACTTCTAGCCTACTGGACAGTGAGAGAATAAACTTCTGTTTGTTGAAGCCATCCACTTGTGGTATTTCTGTTATAGCAGCACAAGATAACTAAGACACTTATCAACTATTCTCAGTTAACTAATACACAGAAAGAAATGAGTTTTATTTTTTTTTGGTTTTTTGGGTGTGTGTTAAAGTTTTACAAAATTGGCAAAGGGAGCCATAGCACATAGGGTTAGGAACCCTGGAACTAAAGAAATGTGCGCATGGCACGGGATATATTTAAGAATAATCATGGCACCATTGTTTGCAATAATAAGAAACAAGAACAAACAAACACAGCCATTAACACCGTGACAGACAAATTATAGCACAGTTATACAATAAATACCACAGACTGGTGAAATCAATAAACTTTAGTTGTAACATGCATCAAAAGAGATGCATCTCACAAACATGTTACCTGAAAGAAGTCCCAGAAGTAATACAGTAAGAGATCATATAAAGATCTACAACAATAAAATTAAGCTATATATTGTTTATAGATATATACAGAATTGGTAAAATCAGAACACTATGGACTTGATTAACATAAAACTTAGAATGGCAGACAGGAAATATGGTCCAGAAGAAACACACAAGGGACTTCTAGAGCAGATGAATATCCCATTTTCTAACCTAGGCGTGGTGCAGTGGTTAAGAGCTGGGCTGCTAACCAAAAAGTTGGCAATTCAAATCCACCAGCCAGGCCATGGAAACTCTATGGGGCAGTTCTACTCTGTCCTATAGGGTCACTATGAGTCAGAATCGGGTTTGGTTTTTTATGGTAACCTAGGTGATGGATACATAAGATGTTTACTTTATTAGTATTCTTTATATTGTACAGATGAATTCAATACGTTCTTTTGTATGTATGATATATCTCACAATTATATAAATTTAAGATACAAAAAAGAAAAAATCTATTATCATGAAAAGTTGGGCCAAATAATAAGACTAACATAGTTACCTGAGATATATTTCCTGTTAATTGATTCAAGTCTGCCAGGCTAAGGTTTGCAGTTTCATCACTCTCATTGAGGGTAGATAAACCAGATGCTGGAGGCATCCCTTTCTTAATGAAAGATCGTACATAATGCCTAAGGGAAAACAAAACTTCTGTTACTTTAATCTCATTTAAAGTTACAAATAAACAACTGTAGTTTTCCCAACAAAAGTTCTGATTGTGTTTATCATTCTCATTCTTTTACAACCAGTAATATTTTTTCTTCATGTTAAAATACAGAAGAAATAGTCTATATTAATGTATCAGTGTAAAAACTTTCTGGAAAAGTATTTGTTTTAAAGCTATGGTAATCATCTTTGGAAGGTGCAGGAATGTAGGAATTTGACAACATTGAGAACTAATTTAACTAGGTAGTATCAGGGTACCGAAGGAGCCCTGATGGTGTAGTGGTTAAGCACTGAGCAGATAACTCAAAGGTTGGTGGTTTGAAGCCACCAATTGCTCAGTAGGAGAAAGACGTGGCAGTCTGCTTCGTAAAGATTACAGCCTTGGAAATGCGATGGGGCAGTTCTACTCTGTCCTACAGGGTTGCTATGAGTTGGAATTGATTCGACAATGAATTTGGTTTGATTAATGTGTCTGATAAAAAAAGCTCAGAGTCAGAAATTTACTTATGGGTCTGCGACACTTAAGTTTATAACTGTGACATTCATAGAAGCTACTCAAGTGTACAGTACTTCTTTAAAGTAATTGCTGACATGACCCCAAGTCATCACTGCCATAGCAAGAATTTTATACGCTAGCGCTCACTCTCTCTCTCTCTCTCTAGATAGATAGATATAAATATGGTAAAAGTGTTTCAAAGATAAAATTAAATTCTATGCATAGGCTTCATAAACCTGATTTTTTTCTAGTGTTCAGCAAAATTTAATTCACCTAAAACTAAGTTTATCTGTTTTACATGAAACTGTCACTAGAGGGTAGCACAAACATATTTGTGAGGCTCCAATTTTATCTATTTTTATGACGTGGATGGAGTAAAGCTTTCGGGACCTTCATTTGCTGATGTGGCAGGACTCGAAATGAGAAGAAACAGCTGCAAACTCCATTATTAACTGGAACGTGGAATGTAGGAAGTATGAATCTAGGAAAATGGGAAGGCATCAAAAATGAAATGGAATGCATAAAGATCAATATGTTAGCCATTAGTGAGCTGAAATGGGCTGGTATTGGTCATTTGGAAGCTGATAATCATATCGTCACTATGCTGGGAATGACAAATTGAAAAGGAATGGCATTACATTCATCATCGAAAAGAAGTTGCAAGATCTATCCTAAAGTACAACGCTGTCAGTCACAGGATAATACCCATATGTCCACAAGAAAGACTAGTTAATAAAACTATTACTCAAATTTATGCGTCAAAGACTAATGCCAAAGATGAAGAAATTGAAGATTTTTACCAACTTCTGCAGTCTGAAATTAATCAAACATGCAATCAATATACATTGATAATTACTAGTGATTGGAATGTGAAATGCAGAAACAAAGAAGGATTGATAGTTGGAAAATATGGCCTTGGTAATAGAAACGATGCCAGAGATCACACGATAGAATTCTGCAAGACCAACGACCTATTCACTGAAAATATGTTTTTTCAACAACATAAACAGCGACAGTACACATGGATCTCACCGGATGTAATACACAGGAATCAAAATCCACTACATCTGTAGAAAGAGACCATGGAGAAGCTCAATATCGTTAGTCAGAACAAGGTCAGGGGCCAATTACGGAACAGACCATTAACTGCTCTTACGCAAGCTCAAGTTGAAGCTGAAGAAAATTAAAAGAAGCCAAAAAGAGCCAAAGAACAACCTTGAGCATATCACATCTGAATTTAGATACCATCTCAAGGATAGATTTGACGCATTAGACTGAAAAACAGACGAGTTGTGGAAGGACATAAAGGACATTATACATGAAGAGAGGAGTAGGTCATTAAAAGACAGGAAAGAAAGACCAAAATGGATGTCAGAAGAGACTCTGAAACTTGCTCTTGATCATACAGTAGCTAAAAGGAACGGAAAAAAATGATCACTTAAAAGAGCTGAACTTAAGATTTCAAAGGGCAGCTCAAAAAGACAAAGTAAAATATTTTAATGAAATGTGCAAAGACCTGGAGTTAGAAAACCAAAAGGGAAGGACACGCTTAGCATTTCTCAAGCTGAAGAAACTGCAGGAAAAAATTCAAGCCTCAAGTTGCAATACTGAAAGATTCTATCACCAAAATATTGAATGACTCAGGAAGCATCAAAAGAAGATGGAAGGAATACACAGAGTCACTGTACCAAGGAATTGGTCGATGTTCAACCATTTCAGAAGGCAGCATATGATCAAGAACCAGTGGTACTGAAGGAAGAAGTTCTAAGCTGCAGTGAAGGCAATGGCAAAAAAGAAGTCTCCAGGAATTGACAGAATACCAACTGAGATGTTTCAACAAATGACTGCAATCCTGGAAGTGCTCATTTGTCTATGTCAAAAAATTAGAAAGACAATTACCTGGCCAACCAGCTGAAATAGATTCATATTTGTACCCATTGCAAAGAAAGGTGATTCAACAGAATGTGGATTTATTGAACAATATCATTAATACCAAGTAAAATTTTGCTGAAGATCCTTCAAAAGCAGCTGCGGCAGTATATCAACAGGGAAGTGCCAGAAATTCAAGCCGGATTCAGAAGAGGACATGGAACAAGGGATACCACTGTTGATGTCAGATAGATCCTGGCTCAAAGCAGAGAATACCAGAAAGATGTTTACCTGTGTTTTGTTGACTATGCAAAGGCATTCAACTGTGTGGATCATAACAAATTATGGATAACACTGTGAAGAACGGGAATTCCAGAACACTTAATTGTGCTCATGAAGAACCTGTACACAGACCAAGAGGCAGTCATTCAAACAGAACAAGGGTATACTGAGTGGTTTAAAAACAGGAAAGGTGTCAATCAGGGTCGTATCCTTTCACTATACTTATTCAATGTGTATGCTCAGCAAATAATCTAAACTGGGCTATATGAAGAAGGATTGGAGGAAGACGCATTAACCATCTGCAATATGAAGATGACACAATCTTGCTTGCTGAAAGTGAAGAGAACTTGAAGCACTTACTGATGAAGATCAAAGACCACATCCTTCAGTATGGATTACACCTCAACATAAAACAAAAATCCTCACAACTGGACCAATATGTAACATCATAATAAACGGAGAAAAGATTGAAGCTGTCAAGTATTTTGTTTTACTTGGATCCACAACTGAGGAAGCATGGAAGCAGCAGTCAAGAAATCAAATGACATACTGCGTTGGGAAAATCTGCTGCAAAAGATCTCTTTAAAGTGTTAAAAAGCAAAGATGTCAGTTTAAGGACTAGGGTGCACCTGACCCAAGCCATGCTGTTTTCAATTGCCTCACATGCATGTGAAAGCTGGACAATGAATAAGGAAGACCAAAGAATTGATGCCTTTGACTTATGGTGTTGGCAAAGAATATTGAATATATCATGGACTGCCAGAAGAATGAACAAATCTGTCTTGGAAGAAGTACAGCCAGAATGCTCCTTAGAAGCCAGGATGGCAAGATTTCATCTCCTGTAGTTTGGACATGTTATTAGGAGGGACCAGTCTCTGGAGAAGGACATCATGCTTGGTAAAGTAGAGGGTCATTGAAAATGAGGAAGACCCTCAATGAGATGGATTGACATAGTGGGCGCAACAAGGGGCTCAAACATAGCAATGATCATGAGGATGGCGCAGGACCAGGCAGTGTTTTGTTCTGTTGTACACAGGGTCGCTATGAGTTCAAAACCACCAGAGACCAGCACCTAACAACAACAACAAATTTTGTCCAACAAGGACATGAGCCAGGAACTGGCAAACCTTCATGTTTCTACAGTGATAATGTTCTGATGCTTGTATCCCCCCAAAAGAGTTTGATTTTAACTTGACCTGAGGACTCTAACTGTACAGCAAGGCAGGACAAGGGACCTTTTTACATAGAACGAAATGCCACTCACATATCTTTGTGTTTGGCTCTGCCAGATAGAATACGCAAACACATTCGTAATAGATTCAAGCAGTGAATAGATTAGTTGTAACCAATCAAGTGGTTAAGTCCTCAGACCTGGGTTATAGAATGTCATCCCATTGATCAAGAGATTAAGCTGAAAAGGCCAAAAAATCAAGTAAGGGATTAACTAAGGGAATTCAGGTTATAAAACTATTCCATTTGTGTTCCTCTACTGGCATACAAGGGAGCCCTGGTTGCACAATGGTTAAAGCGCTTAGCTGCTAACCAAAAAGGATGGAGGTTCGAACCCACCATCCACTCCGAAAGATGTGGCAGTCTGCTTCTTAAAGATTTACAGCCTTGGAAACTTTATATATAATAAATCAGAAAACTGCTCAAATAATGTTATAAGCTAGTAGATACTTTTTCCAGCCTAAATTGAATATGACAATAATTTAGAAATTGGCTATTAGAGTATTTATATTATATTAGTAGTTGCAGTTATATTACTCTGTTCTATAGGTTAACTATTAGAATCAACTCAGTGGCAGTGGATTCGGTTTTGGTTTTGATTTTTTATTGGCATACATAGTCTAGAAGGCTGGATATGGCAATCTGAATCATGAAAAAATTTCCCTGGTGGACAGCAGTTCCACTTGTTACATCCCACAAAAATTTCTGATAGGTATACAACCTGAATCAGCTGAGAGAATAACCAAAAATTATTTGGCATGGTAAAATCATCATCTCAGTGGGTAACTTTAAGCATAAAATTAATTAGAAAAATTATAAGTGTTAACATTCTTATGTTAAGTTTAGAAGAATTCTGTGTATAGGTGGTATTTGTGTATTTGTAGACTATTAGCATGTTACAGAATCTAACCAATTAATCTCCTAATTCCAATTTAAAGTATATAGTTTAATTTTGGCTTTATGATTGTTAAGTTAAAAAGTATAAAAAGATTTTTATTTTTAAATCCTAATAGTATTTATAGGAGAAAAAAACAAAACAAAAACCTAAGGCTCTCCAAATATATGACTTTGATTATTTGACATTTTATG